AATACGTCTAAGCTACTGGGGGCTTCCCATGATGCACTGTGTTTCTTCTTCACTCACAATGTGTTTATATACCTCTCTGTATTGAATCATTAGTTATTATTAATAATCTGTCTCTCGTCCACAGCGTGGCTTCGTTCCTTCTTCCTCACCTCACCCCCAAACGGTCACAACAGACGGCCGCCCCTCCCTGCTGGAGGTTTCTTCTAAAAGAGAGTTTTTCTTTCCCATTGTCGCCAAGCACTTGCTTATAGGGGGATGTAGCACTTTAAGATGACCGTTGTTGTGATTTTGTACATTATAAATACAATTTAATTCAAAAGAAGTAAACTGAACAGAATTAAAATGCAGGAATTTATACCTTTAGGTGTATCGTTAAGTCATAAAAACAAGACAGAAAAGGTAATCTCAGGCAGAATGAGATTAAAGCTTCAGGCCGGGCTCGGTCATGATAGCTTCAATCTGAACTCTGGTTTGTTTAGCATCAAAGAAAAAATACTGTTGCTCAGTAACACAGCCACAGATCTGACTACTGCTTAAGGCTTTGTTAAGTTTTTCAGACGGACTTTTTAAAGTGGAAATCACGGCTACACTTTGGTCTGGCATGCTGTACTTCTTCTCAACTCTAACCATTTTAGTCAAGATGTAATCATTTGATGTTTTGAAATGCTATACTGGATATAAACAAAAGCTTTTCAGTTTAGTCTGTTTGGTCTAAAGAAATCTTGGAGCTTGTGACGTGTTCCTGCTCACAAACCCTGCAAATGATATGATGAAGAACGATGTGAGAAGCTCTCCTCAGTCTGGCTTTGGATTGCTTTCTTTAAAAAACACTATTGCCTAACTACCCCACCCCCTTCATCCTCTAAACAGCTCCTGATGTGTACATCTGGAGCGTTAGCGCAGTATTAGCTTGCTAATTGATCCTCTGAAGGGCCACAACGGCCATCTGCCAGCACAGTGGTGGATGGAAGTACATGTGGCATGAAGAAAGGACTTTTGTTCTCTGGGCCCCCACGCTCTCGTTCCTTGTATGGAAAATCTGAGATGGAGGTGGAGGTTTGGGGGGGCAACCTTTTCCTAAAAACAGCCTCTCTTTCTCTCTGTCACCCAGTCAAACGCTCTGAAAATCAATCAATACTCACTCCAAGTAAAAATGTCGTAAATGGGCTGAACTCTGGCAGAACGCTGTACTCCAGAAGAGGGAGAAACAGCGTTCGTTACGATGCCTCAGCACACAAACGCTACGATCAAGCTGCAGCGTTAAGCACAGTTACAGTGCAATGTGTGTGTTTATGCCAGAGAACATATAACGTGCTCTTAATAAAACAAGAAGCTTTGATCGGGCAGAAACCAAGACTGCGAGGGAACTTTATATGTTCAGCTTTAATTTTAAAGTCACAGTCCACCCAGAACTGAAATTCTTGTGGCAAGTTCACTTCAATGGAATTGCTCCAATCAGAGCTCACAGGGGTCAGATGCCCCTCCCACCAACTCAGAGGCTGTTTTGGCTCGTTTCAACAGAACGCTGTCAACTTCAGCAACCAGTCAGCTGATGTGCTTCACAAGGGCCTCAGAACAATAAAGCGTCTCTCATTTCCTTCTGTCCCACGACACCTCTGCTTGCTTTTCCATCGTCGACACTGCTGACTCACACACTCCACTGCTGTTTAGTCATAATAAACTCCATTCTCTTTTGGCCAGTTTTGCTTTTTTCTTTGATAAAACATTCTTTTTTTGGTCATTTTGACTTTGATGTTTCAGGAATGATTTAGGCATCGGCCTAAATCATTGTGGCATTTCAACCAAGTCCAGTTTGAACCTAATGTCCTCAACCGTTCGGTGCAGGGGAAAGAGATCAAACTGCGCCTTTATTGTCTACCTATGCTGACGTGCGAGCCTGGAACAGAAACAGTACGGCGTGATTTCAACCTGGAACAGAACTCCACTTGTTTATCTTCGGCGGGGGTTTTTTTGTCTACATGCTGAACTCCGCTGTTGTTCCTTTTCCCGAACAAGCCAACTTTTTACACAATCAGCTCTCAACCTACGCAAAGTGTCATTACCACTGGGCAAGGACGGCACACAAGTGAGCCTCTGTATCTTCTGTAATTACCATAATCCTCCTCTCTACGCAGCCAAATAGACACAAATGTCAGACCATTAATCTGGCATAAATGGTTATTTAAGGACAGATCCTGCTTTTCCCAGTTACGTTACTGTCAGATGGTGAAGCTAAAAAAAGTGGCCACAGATATCAGAGGAAACGGTTATTTTCAGACAGGTGATGACTGAATGCCCTTTAGTTTACAGAAAGGAATGTTGACACATGCATTAGCCTAACTTTACGTAACCCTAAACAACCAGTGCACTGATGGAGAAAACACATTTAAAAGTGCTACGGGCGCACCCCGGTGGCAGTGGTCTCTCCCACGTTGTGGTTTTGGTGTTGTGGTCAACGTAGTACACTCTGCCATGAGGCAACACCCTCTGCTCCCAGCTGCACAAAGAGAGAAGAGACAAGCACGCACAAATATTCATTTACTATCACACCGAATACATTCCAGCAACGAGATATCCAAGATTTTCTTAGACTGC